AAAGGGGATCTGAGTGGGACTCGGGGAAGGTGCAGGGCTAACTTGTGACACCTGTCAAAAAGTTTGGCCCCACACACTGTAGCAACAGACATATAACACCACAACTCTAACGTTAACCCAGTTTCTTTCAGGTTAGGCCAATTTAGCTACCATATAAAATTATGCAGATAGAATAGTTGCATTGTAATAACTTGTGAGAGCTTCTGAGAAGAAGCAACCCTTCAAATGGCTAAAATGTACATCTGTCCATATCTTCAGGAACTAAAATAATTGTCTTCATTGATGTTTAACCTTTTCTTTAATGAAGAAAATGCAACTATTTTTTTCTAGGCTACACTGGAAGTTAGATAAAAGTTTTTCTTCACTTTGAAATTATTAAGTGCTACAAAAATGTAATTCAGCCAAATAACCAAAAGATGTCGCTCTTTGTTGCTTAGTAAAATTAACAACCATGTTCACATGCTGCAGCTGAGTCCTATAGCTTATCGGTGCTTCTGCTCACGTACCTGTATTCCCAAACTTGATTTCATCACGAAGAATTGATCCACTAGCTTTTTGTGTAAAGGTCTCATATCTTGAGGCACAAACTTCTCATGCACAGCTAAGCCAAATTCTAGAATCTGGGCCTTCATAAATTTAGGAGAGAAGGAAGGGAAAATACGATTTATTTGTTTTAATTTTTAATTTCCCTTATACTATAATCTAATTAATAAAAAACAAACAAACACAATTTATGAAAAAGCACCTATTTGAATCAAGGATCATAATAAATTACGGACAAACACGTGCATCTACTCAAATGGTCTTTGTGCTATTTGGTTTTCAGAAGTATTTAGTTTATATGTATTTATTTGTTAAAATGCGTATTTTCATTGTGTGGTCTAGATCTGACTTTATATGATGCACGTGAATGAACTGCTCTCAACTGAACTCATTTTTCCCTCAGAAAAACGTAAACAACAATATTTGTAAAGAAGTGTCACTGGTTGGAAACATGAGAGATGGATCTCACTGGTCTAGGCAGACCAAATGGATGCACCCAACACAATTTTTGGAATACATATTGAGTGAAAACTAGAGTACCCAGTTCTAAGCGTCTTCTACACAGTGATTATATTCACCAAGTTTACACCAAGAACTAATGTTCACTTTGAACCAACATCACCAAAATATTTAATTTGCTATCTTGCTCAAATTTTCTCCAATAGATTTGCAGTGCTGGCTTAATTAAGCAATAAGACAAATACAATTAAATGTAAAATAATGCAACTACATTAGGCTGTAAGGTCTTTAGATAACATCTAGCTGATATACTGAATGCATACATCAGCACAGCACCACTGACTTCAATATGAGTAAAATTCCAACATATTTTAACCCATGGAACCCTCTTGTTCTCGCTGAATACTTTATTTCTTGCTCTCTGATAAATCATTCGAGAGACCTCTATTAAAGAGGGATTTTAATTAGTTAGCTTTTGGAATTCAAAATTATATGATCGATAATTATTAGGTCTTTTCAAATTCCAGGGATTAACGATATCTTTAAAACCAAAACCGATAAGATCCTTCAGCAAATGTAAATCAATACAGCTCTATGGAAATAACCAAAAACAATGGACCCACCCAACTTGCATCCGATGAGGATTTGGCACAATAAGTATGCAAGATGACTCACTCAACACCTGCCTTCATCCGAAATTGGGAGGAAAAGTTGAATTTTTAAAACTTTGCACAGAACAAAAAGCTCAGAAAAATATTGCAATGAAATGTCAAAGCATTTCAATTTGAGAATTTTAGTTGAAACAAAATGTTATATAGCATTCTCAGACTGGAACACTTTGATTGGGTTTGCTTACTAAAAAACAAAATATGGGTTATTTCAGCACAGGCTGACATAAATCTCTGCTTCTGCCTCAGCTTTTGTGGTGCCTCCTGGGAGCTGTAGCATTGAATTTTTCATGCCCCTCTAGACCAGTAGTTCTCATCCGTATCAAACTCATGGCACCCCTTGGTAGATTCACAGTACCCCTCAGAATATGCTGCCTCTTAGCTTTCACTCATTTTTTGATGATGGAAGAATATCAGAGCAATTCTTTTCTTGCAAAAAACTCAAAAGCACAAGGGGTTGGAATGTTTTGGACAATGGATTCCTAAGAAAAAACTGGTTATCATGTGAATCCTGCCTAGATATTTACATACTTAACAGTGTACACAGCAACCTGGTTCAGAATCACTGTTGTGGACCCACTCTCTAACAGAACTACATCTTCCATGATGTACCACAATCTCTCTGTATGGCTGGGTTGGTGTAATCGGGAAGTAAACAGAAACAGAAACTTTTAATTTACAAAATTCAGGTCTTAGCCATGTTCTCTAGTGAGAAAATGTTTAGTCTGAAATATTTTGACCAGTTCTAATATATGATGTCAAGTTTATTTGGCTCACTACCATATCAAATGCCTAGAATTATTTTATTGACTAAATAAGGGAAAATACAAAACCAAAAAAGAGACGTCTTCAATAAACACAATACTAAAAAGACATTTCCAAACGCATCTCTCTTCTTTTAAATCCATTATAAATGAGGTAATTTACACCACTTTAATTAGCATGATGAGCAAATTCTACTGTAAAGAACCAAAACGACTAAATAGAGTGAATATAGTATACAGACCAAAGAGTAATCTGAAGTTCTTATATCACGTCATTTCTAAGTTCCCACGCAGGCAAATATTTGAAAAACATCTTTCATAACATAATGTACCATGCACTCTTGCTACATTTGGCTTTTTAGTGACAGGAGTATCACTCCATTGTAGTACAATCTACAAATTAAATGAATATTCACAACAAACATTTTCTATTAGAAGAAAGTTCCCCCTCTTATTTAATGTTGAATTTATATGAGATGAGAGAGAGGAAAAAGAGGGCATAGAATCCAAGGGATTACACATTAACTAAAAGTTGGAAAAATGTTTATGGTGCAAGGGAATTGCAGGCCATCTGAAAGCTAATGCAGCAAATGCTGAGGGCCACTGAGCAGCTAAACACTGTGATTTCATCTTTTATCTGAGCACATATCAATTTCAGCTAGAATAGGCAGCAGGCCATCTGCTTGGCCTTTTCTCCACTCTACCTGCTCAAACATCAGGTCTCTCAAGCGTGTGATCTTCTCACCATCCTCTGGGTGGTTCAAGACGTAGTCCTTCACAAAGAATGCCTGAACAGAATATAATCACACCACAAGGTCATGGCAAGTTTGCTGAAAGTCCATCATGTTTACAATAGTTTGAAGGCATCTTTGCTCAAAACAAAAGCCTAACTCCTTCCACAGAAGTACAGAATAATATAATAATATATATTACAGTTATATAGTGACTTTCACATCTGCGGAGCCCTTTATGAATAAACAGCTCTGCAAACTACACTCAAGTAACTTGTAGCTCTTCTTAGTATGAAATAAGACAACAGTCAGGGCAGGGACTGCATCTCATATGAAACTCTGGAGAGAATTTAAGTAAACAGAACATAACCATTAGAGCTGAAATACACTCAGGACCACTGAATGCTGATGACTATAAAAGGTTAATCTTCTCTTGAAAGTCTTAAATCCAAGGAACAGTATTCTCCCTTATGCTGGATGTAAAAGATATACAAGAACCACAAAGGACAGACCAAACTCCGTGCTCTGAATAGCTGTGTGTGAACTTGTAAGGAGGTAACAGCATCCTGTTGCAAACTTAATGTTAACAAGTAAGTGTAAGTTTCTCTTTAAAAAAAAAACAACTTCATATATCTGTTTTCAGGAACTATTCCCTTTGGCTAAATCCTCACATGTATCTGAGCAACATTTGATACACCTGAGTGTGGCTGTGCGTTATAAACAGCTGTCCTCTCCTGACATCATCCTGAAAATGTTCTCCTGGCCTCTTTGGAGCCATTCACCCTACTACAGATTGCCAAGACACAGCACTTCCCTCTTGCTCCTGCCCCACTCCTTTCACATCATGAATTATCTCCCATACTGGATTTTCTGCTGTGTCTGGGGAATCCCTAACTGCCTCCCTTAGGGGAGGTTTCCCACCACTTTACATTGCATATGCAGTGTAAAGGCCCTCTGAACACATTCTTAGGTGCACGTGATGTTTCTTCAGTAAAGCAGAACTCTGAAAGGCTGGGGTGCCTTAATTCTGCATTTCTCTTTACTGCCTTTGGTTGGTACTTCCCTCAGACAACACCTGCAAGGTTTTCCATCCATGCAAAAGCTAGTACATGTACGCTTTACTGTTAAATTCATACTTCATTGCTTGTAAAATTGGAAGAAAATCTATCACCTAGTCTAATTCACTCCAAAAATTGCACCCTTAGGCAACTGTCAGCCAAGAAACAGGATGAAACCCACTCCAGGAAAATGACAAAACCCTGATCCAATGACAGAAGCCCTTAGTATTTGTCCTTTCTTTTACTGTTAATCAGTAGACATATAAGAGTTAGAGTTCTTAAATAGTAAAGAAAGAAGCCCTGACATATTTTTGCTGGAAAAAAAATATAGCACTTGGAGTATTAAGGAAGAATGAGTTCCTTTCAGTAAAGGCTTATTGTTTTTTCAGTATCAAGCAGGTTATATCCCAACTTTGCATGCACTTTCAGATAGTGCTCAAATGGAGTCAGTATAACATTTTCTTTTTAGCACATTGGTTCATAGTGCATCAGAACTGTTTATTTTCTTGATTGCTCCGTGTCTGCCCCTTTCCTCTTTTACTGTACTGGAACCAGTGAAGGATCAGTGAAGGCATGTGCAGGCATCAGAAAGCAGCAGAAATAATGGGAAGTAGATGTTTGTTGGATCTCTAGGAAAACAAAACCCAAAATCAAACCCAGCTATGTTTCAAGCAGAGGAGACCTGGCTGAAGAATGTGTTATCTGGTTCTTGCCCTTCTCCACGTTTATAAGGCTGCAAGAGGGAGGATGGTGCCCAGTGAAAAGCTTGTGCTTTCAGTTTTAGTTTACTCTGGAGCATATGACAAGCCAGGGCAAGAAAAAGACACACCAAGTGTTAGGCAGTATTGAAAAGGGAAGAATAAAGTAACAGAAAGAGATGGGAAGGGAAAGCAAAGAAGGAACAGGGCCTTGGGGAAAAAGGTGAGGAAGAGAAAACAAGCAAGAACAATACAGTAAGAAAACAGACGGGTACTAAACATGAGTGATCTGCACAAAGAAAAGAAAAATATAACAAATCAAGCCTTCTCCCTCCCTTAAGGGTAGCAAATTTGTTTCATATACTCATGTTTTGTTTAATTCACCCACTCAAGGCATGTGTGTTATGGGGAGAAAGGAACCAAAAGGAGGAAGAAAAAGCTATGATTCCAGAGGAGGAAGCAAACTACAGCTTAGGAGAGGAATAAAAGGAAGAACAGGTTGTAGCTTTTAGTTAACCGAGTCATACTCTGATTCTGTAATAGTGGCAGCTCCTAAGAATGTGTAATTTATTTTCTTACATTTTATTTTAGTTCCAGCCATCAAAGATCTCACATGGTTGCCTGAGTGTTGCATCTTTAAACTGCCTTTCACCTATGAAGTAAGTTGGCAGTGTGGCATTCAACTTTTGCCCACTATGGAAGGGGAATCCCAGCATAGCTCTAACCAGCTCAGAAGGCTTCAAGGGAAATAGCATAAGCGAAAATCAGTGCTGGAAGCACACTCTTGGCGTTCTTTTAAGCAGTTTCAAAACACCACAACACACTGTCCAGAGATAACTTCCCAGCATCTCATGACAGTGATTCAAGGATGGCAATGATCAAAAACTACATCTAAGTAGAGAACATTAAGGTTACAAGTGAAAGAGAGAATACTTTTCCATTGCAGGTACCATTTCCCTCTGGACTTTCCAAGAGAAGCACTGCTTTCTTGAAAGACTTGGAGGCAAAAAAAACCCCAAATGAAACAAAACAACAAGCTACCTCAAGATAAACTCTTACTAAGACATACAGCCAGCTTAAGTTATAGGTGGAACATTAGTACAAAAGGAGAAATGGGAAGCTGGCCAAAACTCTACCTCTTGACCTGAAAAGGAACTGAAGGAATGTAGAAAAACATGATAAAACTGAAACTAATCTTTAATGTGGGGGTTTAATGTTTCATGGAAAAATTCACTTAACTGATAAAACTTGGATCCACTTATTACTATAAGAGCCATATAGGGCTATATACAGTAAAATATAAATTATAAAAAGCCATAGAAATGTAATGTCATTTCTGATATGTATTAAATATAAGTAATTGTGTGTAGTTAAGCATCCTATAGTATAGTTAGAACTATTTATACCCACTGCATACAATAGCTACAGAGCAAGAGGTAGAGACTGAAAGCAAAAGAATACAACTATATAAAAAAAACCAAACCCAACAACAATACAATGGATTGTTAAATATACCCATTAAAAATACACTACTTACCTCTTGGTACCTAGCAACACCACCATTAACTGCTGCATCTATGACCCCATTCAGACACATTGTGAGTGGGTTAATATTCTGCATCTGTCGAGTCTGACACTGACTAATCAGTGTTCTCAGCTGCTGGTTCTTATTTTCCAGCACTTCAATAGCATTCTCAAGAGGACTCATTTCCACCTGTGGAGGGTTGGGGGTAGGAGGACAACACCAAAAACATGCTTAATCCTCAAATTGTTGAATGCTAGATAATAACCAAGGCTATTCAATAAATTCCAGCGAGTCTTTGTGGAAATGTTTTACAAACCTGCACTGCATTTGTGAAATATGAGGTCATAAGCAGTATGATTTCAGGCACACAAACAGGGACAAAAATGCACCAACAATTCAATATCTATCCTGCAGAATTGCAGAGCAAATGCGTCAAAATACTGAAACCTTTCAATGCTCAGTGAAATGGAGGAAGTCTAAGGCACACAGCATCAGGAATGGAATGATCAAAATCTTCCTGACCGAAAAAAGGTCAGGGGAATTTTACTGGCTGGAAATAGCACATACTGCATAAAGGTTTGAAGGAACAGGCTGACATATCTGAGAGCTAGGAAATGTGCAGTACAGACTCCAGACTTGTATTATTTGTTAAAAGTTACCATGCAGGGTTATACAAGATAACACAGTTGTGCTCTGTTCCAAGCATAGGAGAAAGTGTAGCATGTAACTGTACAGAAAAGCTGACTCTCTAATAGTGTCACTAGTGCCTTAAATGAGGCTCTTCTGCTACCTTATGGAGACATTCTTCATGTAAGCATTGGCCAACGTTAAATTGACTGGAGAAACTGTGACAGCTGGAGCAGCAAAATCTTTAGGAATCAGTTGACAGAATTTCTCAGAGCTTACACAAACCTGTATGTTACCATGGATATATTAAAACAGGTAGCTTTTTTCTATAGAGACTAAACCAGAAGGATGAAAAAAATGTATTTTGTTACTATTACATTCACATGGAGTGAACAGACTTTAAAAAAAGAAATGTGTTGTACAGATAGGCCCTGCACTTAATGGGTACTATTTATGCACTAGTATGGGATACTACTAGTAAGCTAAGGAATTATAATGTGGGGGAAGGGAGACATGTGGCAACAACAGCTAAATTAAAGGGGCCACTATGTCACAAACTTCCGCTGTGATTTAGGTAGGTCCCTAATCATCAAGCTCAACAAGAACTGGAGAAACTAGAGAAATGGTCCAAAAATCAATCAAATGAAATTCAACATGGACAAGTGCAAAGTCTTGCACTTGGGATAGAAGAATCACATGCACAAATACTGACTGAGGAAGGGCTAGCTAGGCTGGGGAAGGGCTGGCTAGGTTGCGGTATTACAGAAAAGGATTTAGGGATCTAGAAGCTGAATATGACCTAACAGTATTCTCTTGTTGCAAAGGAGGACCAGCAGCATACTGGGCTGTATTAACAGAAACATCACTTGCAAATACAGGGAGGCAATTCTCTTGGTCTATTCTGCACTGGTGAGACCTTACCTGGAGCATTCTGTGCCCAGTTTTGGGCCCACACTTCAAGAAAGATGTGACACATTGGAAAGAGCCCAGGAGAGAACAACAAAAATGACTGCAGGCCATGGAAACATGACTTATGAAGATAGGCTGAAAGAGCTACAACTTTTTAGCAAAGAGCAGATAAGGCTGAGAAAAGATCTCATAAGTCTCCAAGTACCTAAAAGGTGGTTATAATGGAGAAAGGAGACTTCCGGTGGCTGTAGGGGATAGGACAAGGAGTAACAGTCCTATATTACAAAATGGGACTTTTAGGTTGGTAATTAGGAAAACATTTCTCACTGTGGGGGTGGTTAAGCATTGGAACAAGCTACCCAAAGAGGCTGTGGAATTTCCATCCTTGGAGTTTTTTAATAACAGGTTAGATAGGCACTTGACTGGGAGGGTTTAGTCAGGTACAATCCTGCCTTGAGCAGGGGGCTTGACTAGACGGCCCCCTGAGGTTCCTCCTAACCCTACTATTATATGGCTGTCTTCTTCAGCACTAATGGAAATATGTGTGCACTAAACTCCTGGCCTCAAAGCTTGCCAAATTAATTAGAGAGCTCTAAAGTTGAAAGATTACTTTTCAAAATACATACTGAAAGTATTAGAGACTTGTCCCCTGAAGTTTAGATGAGTTGAATAGCATAAAATTAGGAAGCATCAGGAATGGGCTGCTGATTTAGAACCCACTCTTATAATTATCTTTGTGTAGGTAGACCTCTGGGCCCATGCAGAGACCTGGTAACTATAACAGGGCTCCCTGTGGATGCAGAAATCCACCCACGTGAAACACATTACAGTACTAGCACTCTGGGAAAGATTACCTTTCAAATAGGCTGAAAGCTGTATTTGGCCATAGAAATTCTAAATACTTAACTTTTGACCTTTGCCAGGCTTTAATAAAATGGTTTGCTGACAATTAAAAAGCAGGTTCTACTTTATCTGTAAGACATCTAACCAAGATTTAGTTATCTCTATCCTGGTCAAGTTCTTAAAAAATCATTAACGCAAAAAGTGCGTGGATCTCTTCTTTTGTGTGTGTGTGTGTGTGTGTGTGTGTGTGTGTGTGTGTGTGTGTGTGTGACTTAGTCTAATGTCTCAGACTCTTGTAAAAGGAGATGCATTAACAGCTTTTCAGGGATTAGAGCAAAGTGAATAGGATTGCATTTAGACAAGTTAAATGTCACTTTTCACTATATTGCATTATATATGATTTTTTTCTTCATTTTTTTTTCTGTTGAATGATTTAAATTGATATTAATATTGGATTTAGGGCTTAACAATTAAGTCATTTACGTAAACCAGAAAAGTTACGAGAGTTTGTAAATCATTTAACTAGCTGATCTGAAAACAAAGAACACACTCACATGCATTCCTGTTGCTAGCAATGCTGGAAAGGTACAGTAAAAGCTGCGTTAACCGGCATTTTAGTAACCAAAATACTCTATTAACAAGAATTTCCAGCCAGCTGGATGCAAGTGGGGGGGGAGGGGAGGGGGGCGGGGCAGACAGCATGCCACGG